TGAGCGTCGGGGCCGGCGGCGGGCGAGGGGGCGGCGAGTTGGGTTTAGGTGGCGCCATAAAAGGAGCCCAGCTCAGGAATCGCTTGGCACTTCAAAGGGCTCCGTCCACATTACACTCTTGGAAAGGTGATGGAATGAGTGGGAGCCCGGCCCTGACCAGAGCGCTTCACGCTCACTCCGAGGTTCAGGCACGGCGACTTTAGGACAACCGGAAGTGAGCGCTGGCTCCCTTGAGTTCGAGCATTGGTTTAGTGGTTATGGAATGCCTTCACACTGCGCTGGGAGCTTAGATGGTTTGGTACAAAAATCAGCAGGGTAGACTTTTGAGTGGGTTTAGGACCTGAAGTCTCCCAAAAGAGACACAAACAGACTGTTCTGTTCAGAAAAACCAATATTGTTTCAGGGACAGAGAGGGGCTGAGATGAACTGAAAGACGTTCAGTATTTTTAGGGAGGGGCCTCCAAGTTGCTTCAACCTCCAACCTCATCTTTTTCCTAAAACTAGTGCTGGACTCAGTTGTCTGCACCCTCTTGGCTACAGTGTCTGGTTTCTGAGACATCGCACACCGGTCTCACTTTCACCTGACCTCTCAGTATCTTTTGCTCACATTTCTTTTGTCCTTGGCCTCTTAATAAAATACCACAGGAGGCTGTGCTTGATAGGGCACGGCTGTAATCCCAGCTCTTGGGAGGCCGAGGCAGGAGGCTCGCCAGGAGTTTGAGACCAGCCTGGACTACACAGCAGGACCCAAGGGATGACCGCAGGATTCAGTCCTCAGGTTTCTCTTCTTAGATACATTCTCTTCTCTATTACTGTCATCTGTCGAGTCTCATGGTGTAAATAGCATCTGCTCCAGACCTCATCTCTTTGTGAAACCCATATTACAGATTCAGATACCTATTTGGCATCTCCAATTTGAAGTCTGCTAGTTATCCCAAATTTAACAAGTCAGAACAGAAATCCTGACCTTGTCTTCAAACCAGATCCTCTTCCCGTCTTTTGCCTGTTAGCATGGTAGCCTTGCATTTATTCAACGCATAAACCAGACCCCTCCCTCTCCTGCTCCATAGCTGATGTGCGGAGAAACACTGATGACTGCACTTTCAAAACATATCCACAATCAGACCACTTCTCACCACTCTGAACATCATCCTATTCAAGCTACTGCGATCTTGCACCTGGATTATTCCAGTAGCTTCCTAATTAGTGTAGTGTAATCTCAATAGTCCACTCGGCAAGTGGAGATCGGCAGTGTCCTGTAACCTGCCTCAGTGTGACCTCTTGTCCCCAGGCCACCTGTATAGGCTTCCTTGTTCCTTAAACGTGGAAAGTCGGGGTCTTCACGATGGCTGGTCCCTCTGCCTGGAGTAGTCTGTTCCCGTACACCTCTAAGTTTGCTCCCTCAGTTCTTTGCTTTCTCAGAGAGGCCTACCACGGCCATGCCATTTTTTTTTTTTTTTTAAACACAAACGCTTCATATGAACAAACTATAAAGCACGAAGACATTTAAATATCTATGTCAAAACAAGCAGGTGGCAGGCGATTCAACATCCAGGAAGGAAAGTGCTTGAAGGAGACTGCAACCTGTCAGCTCCCCGAGCATTATGAGAGGCATTCCACTCCTAACAAGGGTGGCCGTGCCATCTGGTGCTCCTCGTACAGGTTGAAACTCAAAATCTAGAGGACTGGGAGAAAGAACCTTTTTATTTCTAGGTAGAAGCAGGAACAGAGCTATTTACTCCGACGGTCTTCTCAGTCATCTTTTTGGCAGAAAAGTTTTTTTTTTTGTTTGGGGGATCCACTACTCTGTACTGACTTTTCTGTGGCTCTGTCGACAGATCCCAAAGCCTTTCTGGCCACTTCAGGCGAGGCTGGTGGAGCAATGAACATTTTGTGATGTGTGGCATTGAAACCCGAGTTCTCCCATCTGAATCTTGACAGGCCCAGACCCCAGCTTCAGCCCATCCTTAGGGGCAACACGGGCGCCAGTTTCTGTGTTTTCTTTTCTTTATCCACAAAGGTCAGAGTTGCCATCCTGGACTGCCCCAAGATGCCTTCTGACCGTGCCATTTAAAATACAGTATCCAACCTGTCTCCATATTTCTGACTTCTCTGGCATTTTGGCGGGGGGGTTGTTTTTTGAGACAGGGTCTCACTATGTAGTTGAGACTGATCTGGAACTCACTATGTAGCCCAGGCTGGTCTCGAACTCACAGCGATCCTCCTGCCTCAGCCTCCCGAGTGCTGGGATTACAGGCGTGCGTCACCATGCCCGGCTCTGGCATATTTTTTCATAGCACTGCTATATATTATTTCCTGGACTTGATCCCCAGCAGTGTGCAAAAATTTTTTTTAATTAAATAAATAAATCAAAGCTAAAAGGCTGGGAATGTTATGTTTGTCCCTGCTAATTAGAATATGGACTCTCCAAGGGCAGAATTTTTATGTTCCTTTATAGCGCCTATATAAGCAGTGCCTTGAAAAGAGCAGGCCCTCAGTATTTGCAGAACAGATGGATTAATGCATAGTGGTGAGGTGGGGAGGAGTCAAGTCTCAGATCATTACCGGGATGTAAAGCCAGCCTCACAGCAGTAGGAAGCTACTGGAGAGCTTTGAGGATAGACCAGATGGCACGGGTGTTTCTGGAACCTCATTCTGGCTGCAGAGTGGAGAAGAGTCCGAAGGAAGCAAGGTCCACACACCATGGAGTGCAGCAAACAGATCGCGGAGTGGAAGAGCATGAGTTTAATTGATAACAAGTGAAGCTTGACGTGCCTTGGGTCATCAGGAGCAGCTGTCCAGGAGGCGCCTGGCATTAGGGTCTGGAGCGAAGAGGGAAATCCACCTGCAGGCACAGATGCATGAGGGGTTGGTGTGTGAAGGCAAAATGCCTAACCCCTCCCTCATTTAGCCTTTATCACACACTGCCTCTGACTGTGGGTGTTCTTCATCTTACGTTTGGTGTGCTAGGACTCGAATCTAGGGCCTCACACGTTAAGCATGTGCTCTGCTGAGCTACACGTCCCCAGCCCACCTCAGTGCTAAATGACCCCTTTGGGCATTACCGAGCGTGTGACAGCGGTGAAGAACAGTTACCTGCAGCCTGCCTGCCCTGGGCCCAATCACTTCAGATACAGGGAGCTTCAGAGTCCCTGTCTGAAGCTGGGTGTAATGCTGGTGCCTCCTTGTTTATCAGGATTAACCAAGTGACAGGTAGAACAGATAGAACAGATCCTGTTGCTGAGCTGAGGGTGATGTGTTGACCATTATTTACTGGCTTGGCTATCTGTTTCATGTGCTGCAGTGCCTTTTAAGCAAGATTGCAAGCCCTGAGGACAGGAACATAGCACACGCCCGTGTGTCTTTGCACACGTCTGTATCTGTCACGTGCACACCAGGCCTGCACCGCTGGTTAAAGTTGCATGGACTCCGAACCCCTCGCCCACCCCTTACGTGCTCATCCATGTCACATGTCATCTCCCTTCTTCTAGGACCCGGAGCGCCGCAGGATGGATCAGACAGTGAGGATGAGGAGTGGCCCACCCTGGAGAAGGCGGCCAAAATGACGGGGCTGAGCCACCACACGGAGGTGGCCGTGGACCCCGAGGATGAACATGCCATTGAAATGTTCATGAACAAGAACCCTCCCGCCAGGTAGGGGAGCACTCAGGGGAGGAGATCCTGATGGAAAGAAGCGTGGTGACTGGGAGGGGCCTGAGATCGCTGGTTGTGGTGGCCCAACTAGGCCGAATTGGCCCAAACTCCAAATACCTCCTTCCCTTTCATCTGTGTGTGCTGCCCCAGCTGCCCACTGAGGCCCCGCATCCCATCCCCTTTGGTCCTGGTGTGCTCAGTTTCCTTACACAGATCTCTTCCACACTAAACTTCACTTAATCCAGGACTTTCAACCTCAGTGTTCTGGCATGTGGGGCTGGGTAATGCTAAGCACGTGGGCATTTAGCAGAAATCTCTGACGCATACCCTCTAGTGCCCATGGCTACATTTCCTCCATTGGTGATAACCAAAAGTGACTTCAGACATTGCCGGGTGTCTCGGGGTGGCTGAGGGATGGGGTTGCCTCCAGTTAAGAGTTTTTGTTTGAGGCTGGGGATTTAGCTCAGTGGCATCACATCTGCCTCAGAAGTGTAAGGTCCTGAGTTCGATCCCTGGTACCGAAAAAAAAAAGTTTTTGTTTGATTTTGTTTTTTGGAGACAAGGT